GTCGGACTCTGCAGTGGCAACATCCGCGTCCCAGTGGCTGCCCCACCAGCGCCAGTTGAGAAGAAGGTGGCCGCCAAAAGGCATCTGGATCAGGAGCTACAAAGGCAAAGAAGGCTGCAGTCCCGCCATCACATCCGCCAACTCAGCAAATGGTGGACGCTTCCATCAAGAACTTGAAGGAACGTGGGGCTCATCGCTTCTGGCAATCAAGAAATATATCACTGCCACCTACAAATGCGACGCCCAAAAACTGGCTCCATTCATCAAGAAGTACTTGAAGTCTGCAGTCGCCAATGGAAAGCTGATCCAAACAAAGGGAAAGGGTGCTTCTGGTTCCTTCAAACTGTCAGCCTCTGCTAAAAAGGAGCCCAAGCCAAAGGTTGCGGCTGCTGAGAAGAAGGTCAAAACCAAGAAGGTAGTCACCAAGAAAGCCGGGCCACCGCAAAGAAAGCTGCCGGTGCTGCTGACAAGAAACCCAAGGCTAAGAAGGCCGTTGCACCAAGAAGACTGCCGAGAAGAAGAAAACTGAGAAGGCAAAGGCCAAGGATGCTAAGAAAACTGGAGTTGTAAAGGCAAAGCCAGCAGCAGCGAAAGCTAAGCCGGCCGCCGCAAAGCCAAAGGCAGCCAAGGCACCAAAGGCCAAGGCAGCAGCGTCCGCCAAGCCCAAGAAGGCAGTAAAGAAAGCAACTGCTCCAGCTACCGCTAAGAAGCCGAAGGCCAAGACTACGGCGTCCAAGAAGTAAATTAAGATAATCTCTATTATCGCAATTTTAGATTTCGAATTCTGAAATTTGAAATTAATTTAAACAAGCCTTTTCAGGGCTACAAAATCTTCTTAAAGAGACCAAAAATTATCAATGTTTTAAATATGGAGTGTTTAACTGTAGAGTAGATCCGCCTATACCAATTAAATCCTTTTTTAGGATTTGGTAATAGCATATCTCAGTGAAGTAGTCATTTCCGACCCTATAAATTATATATATTCTTGATCAGCATCAACAACTGAATCGATATAGCGTTGGTCGTGAGGAAAAAAAATATTACTACATTTTTGGAACATTTTTTAAGGGGTTATATTATTGAAATTGCACATTTATTAACCCTATAAAACCGCAGAACAGCATTTTGTTTTAAAATTTTACTTTTATTTATATATTAAATAAGAATAGGGCTCTGAAAATTTCGTTCTTTGGTAAAACTTGTTGTGGCCCTGAAAGGGCCTTTTTAATGTTCCTCCGCATCTGCGAGAAAATTTACTTGGAGCTGGTGTACTTGGTGACAGCCTTGGTTCCCTCACTGACGGCGTGCTTAGCCAACTCTCCGGGCAGGAGCAGGCGAACAGCAGTTTGGATTTCCCGACTGGTGATGGTAGAGCGCTTGTTGTAGTGCGCCAGACGAGAAGCCTCGGCAGCAATACGCTCGAAGATGTCATTCACAAAGCTGTTCATGATGCTCATCGCTTTCGAGGAAATGCCAGTGTCGGGATGGACCTGCTTCAGGACCTTGTAAATGTAGATAGCATAGCTCTCCTTCCTCTTCCGCTTCTTCTTCTTGTCGTTCTTGGTGATGTTCTTCTGGGCCTTGCCAGCCTTCTTGGCTGCCTTTCCACTAGTTTTCGGCGGCATTATTTCACTTCACTTCACTGCACGATTCACTGATCATAGCAGTTCAGTTTTGGTGTTCGCTCTTATACTTTTATCAAGCAATGTTTTCAGGTCTGTGGCGACCCACCCCTTACTGAACGCACAGGCAGAGTCAAAAGTATAAATTCGTGAACATCGACCTTCGAGCTACATTCGTTCTTCGTGTGTGTGAAGTGAATAAAGTGAAATAAGAGAAAATGTCTGGTCGTGGAAAAGGTGGCAAAGTGAAGGGAAAGGCAAAGTCCCGCTCCAACCGTGCCGGACTTCAGTTCCCTGTCGGCCGCATTCATCGTCTGCTCCGCAAGGGCAACTACGCCGAGCGCGTTGGTGCCGGCGCTCCAGTTTACCTGGCTGCCGTTATGGAATATCTGGCCGCTGAGGTTCTCGAGTTGGCTGGCAATGCTGCTCGTGACAACAAGAAGACTAGGATCATCCCGCGTCATCTGCAGCTGGCCATCCGCAACGACGAAGAGTTGAACAAGCTGCTCTCTGGCGTCACCATTGCCCAGGGAGGTGTCTTGCCCAACATCCAGGCTGTCCTGTTGCCCAAGAAGACCGAGAAGAAGGCTTAAGCGTTTTAACAGCGTGCCAAGTCAAACTTGTACATAGAAACACAAACTCAAACCCAAACGTCCTTTTCAGGACGACCAAACCATTTCAAAAGAAACTACAATTTTCAAATATGCTTAAGTTTAAAATAATTAATTCATAAACTATTAAATACATTTTTTTATAGTTAAAGTAAGGTGGTCGGTATAAAGTGTAAAACTAAAATGGAGCAAAAATGCAGAAAGTACAGTCGTCAGGGGACAATTCCGGTGACAAACATTAGCATTAATTTTCTTGAAAATGTTGGGTACAGTTTGCATCTTAAAAACCGGGAATTCATTCCCATCGGGACTGTTTGAGCTACCTACGGCATGATTGCCTACCTACGAAAAGCCCGACCAATTAAAATGTATTAGGCGTTATTATTCGTCTGGAATAAATATGAAATATAGCAATGAAATTTGATTTGATAATTTTTCTCTTTATGAAATTAAATGGTGGTCCTGAAAAGGACCGATTGTTGAGTACAGACTGTACTGATTTTTTAACCGCCGAAACCGTACAGGGTGCGGCCTTGCCTCTTCAGGGCGTACACGACGTCCATGGCTGTGACTGTCTTCCTCTTGGCGTGTTCAGTGTAGGTGACGGCATCACGGATCACGTTCTCCAGAAACACCTTCAGAACACCACGGGTTTCCTCGTAAATGAGTCCAGAGATACGCTTCACGCCGCCACGCCGAGCCAGACGTCGGATAGCTGGCTTTGTGATACCCTGGATGTTATCACGCAGCACTTTGCGATGACGCTTGGCGCCACCTTTTCCCAAGCCTTTGCCTCCTTTACCGCGACCAGTCATTTTTCACTCTTTTATTTTAACACTTCGAAAGTCACCACTGAACTAATGTAGAAACGCCGTCGCCGCTTCTATTTATACCAAAACTCAGCATTGCACGAGTGAGCCCGAACGATTGGCCATCTCGCTCTGTGCTCGAAAAATGAGATGGCATCTGCTGCGGCTCTCTTTTCAACCCTCCACGTTTTGCTATATAAGTAGGTAGCAACGGGTTGCTCGTTTATTGTGTTTTCAGACTCGTGAAGTGAACAGTGACAAGAAGTAATATCTAAAATGGCTCGTACCAAGCAGACCGCTCGCAAATCTACTGGTGGCAAGGCACCACGCAAACAACTGGCAACCAAGGCCGCTCGCAAGAGTGCTCCAGCCACCGGTGGCGTGAAGAAGCCCCATCGCTATCGCCCAGGAACTGTGGCTCTGCGTGAGATCCGTCGGTACCAGAAGAGTACCGAGCTGCTGATCCGCAAGCTGCCTTTCCAGCGTCTGGTGCGTGAAATCGCTCAGGACTTCAAGACTGACCTGCGATTCCAGAGCTCTGCCGTAATGGCTCTGCAGGAAGCTAGCGAAGCCTATCTGGTTGGTCTCTTTGAAGACACCAACTTGTGTGCCATCCACGCCAAGCGAGTCACAATCATGCCCAAGGACATCCAGCTGGCCCGTCGCATCCGTGGCGAGCGTGCTTAAGTTGCTTTTGACTAGCAGCCAAAGCGGCAATACATTTTGTACAAATCGGTCCTTTTCAGGACCACAAATATCTTTAAAACTGAGACTATAAATTTTCATATCTATAATTATTTACATTTTTTAAATAAAACATTCTCCTTGCGTTTTTCTGGTTAAATTTGTCAGAATGTATACATGGAAAATAAATACGTTCTTTAAATGTGTGTAGTGAGATACTTTTAGTAGGTATCGGTACAAAATTCGAAATACAAAGCAGATATTTTTAAAAGTTATGTTAAAGACTTATTTATGAACCATTTGTATGGAAAGGTTTATTCAAACATAATCCAGTATATTTTTTAATGCATAGTTTTTGAGATCGTAATGAAATGGGAATAAAAATGCTAATACAAGCAATAAGGCAAATATTCTATTAACAAAAATATATGTATATATAAGAGATAAAAAACTTTTTTGATACACCAGATACATTTACGATATTAAAATTTCGCTATTAATTAAAAATCTAAAATTTCATTCTTAAATGTATTTAATTTCGTCTCTCCTTCGGTAATAGACTCGGGTAAACTCTAATATGAATGTTGTATGGGGGACGTAATAGGGCATTACTAAGAAACGAATCCATAAATTCCCTTCAAAACTTTATTGACTGAAAGAACTTACTTATTTTTTTAATAAAATCAACAAAAATTAATATATTTTAATATATTTATATTTTTTAGGTAGTTAAAACCATATCCGATAGTACCAAGAAAGTCGACCATATTTTAATGAGAGGACCAGTTTAAAAGTGGTCGTAAAATACTTTTGTTGTAAAAATTGCAACTATTTTTATTGTTTCTTCAAGTAAAAGGTTCAAATTTTACGTTTTCTTAAAAATGTTTAGTATCTTTAAAATATTTAATATTTTTACACATGATTTTTAACGAAATGCTATGCCTACAAATTTAAATCTTGAACTTCAGACAGCCATACAAAATGACCCAAAGACTTATTTCACCTTTTAATAAATGTAACTGTTTTATGAAACATTTAAGAACTAAAAATATTTAAAACCTTGTATCATTTAATTACACAACACAGGTAAAAGGAGAAAATGAAATTGCACATCGAGCAAACATTGGGAGCGTAAACGAGCGCTGCCAAACACATAGTTAAAGTGCTCTCCTCCTCGATTCTCAAAAAACTTTCTTAAGCACTTCAGTATGCTGCAATTTCTATACAAACAAAAGTGTTTTTCGTTAGTTTTCGAAAAGAAATAGTGAAGCAAAATGTCGGACTCTGCAGTGGCAACATCCGCGTCCCCAGTGGCTGCCCCACCAGCGCCAGTTGAGAAGAAGGTGGCCGCCAAAAGGCATCTGGATCAGGAGCTACAAAGGCAAAGAAGGCTGCAGTCCCGCCATCACATCCGCCAACTCAGCAAATGGTGGACGCTTCCATCAAGAACTTGAAGGAACGTGGGGGCTCATCGCTTCTGGCAATCAAGAAATATATCACTGCCACCTACAAATGCGACGCCCAAAAACTGGCTCCATTCATCAAGAAGTACTTGAAGTCTGCAGTGGCCAATGGAAAGCTGATCCAAACAAAGGGAAAGGGTGCTTCTGGTTCCTTCAAACTGTCAGCCTCTGCCAAAAGGAGCCCAAGCCAAAGGTTGCGGCTGCTGAGAAGAAGGTCAAAACCAAGAAGGTAGTCACCAAGAAAGCCGGGGCCACCGCAAAGAAAGCTGCCGGTGCTGCTGACAAGAAACCCAAGGCTAAGAAGGCCGTTGCCACCAAGAAGACTGCCGAGAAGAAGAAAACTGAGAAGGCAAAGGCCAAGGATGCTAAGAAAACTGGAGTTGTAAAGGCAAAGCCAGCAGCAGCGAAAGCTAAGCCGGCCGCCGCAAAGCCAAAGGCAGCCAAGGCACCAAAGGCCAAGGCAGCAGCGTCCGCCAAGCCCAAGAAGGCAGTAAAGAAAGCAACTGCTCCAGCTACCGCTAAGAAGCCGAAGGCCAAGACTACGGCGTCCAAGAAGTAAATTAAGATAATCTCTATTATCGCAATTTTAGATTTCGAATTCTGAAATTTGAAATTAATTTAAACAAGCCCTTTTCAGGGCTACAAAATCTTCTTAAAGAGACCAAAAATTATCAATGTTTTAAATATGGAGTGTTTAACTGTAGAGTAGATCCGCCTATACCAATTAAATCCTTTTTTAGGATTTGGTAATAGCATATCTCAGTGAAGTAGTCATTTCCGACCCTATAAATTATATATATTCTTGATCAGCATCAACAACTGAATCGATATAGCGTTGGTCGTGAGGAAAAAAAAATATTACTACATTTTTGGAACATTTTTTAAGGGGTTATATTATTGAAATTGCACATTTATTAACCCTATAAAACCGCAGAACAGCATTTTGTTTTAAAAATTTTACTTTTATTTATATATTAAATAAGAATAGGGCTCTTGAAAATTTCGTTTCTTTGGTAAAACTTGTTGTGGCCCTGAAAAGGGCCTTTTTAATGTTCCTCCGCATCTGCGAGAAAATTTACTTGGAGCTGGTGTACTTGGTGACAGCCTTGGTTCCCTCACTGACGGCGTGCTTAGCCAACTCTCCGGGCAGGAGCAGGCGAACAGCAGTTTGGATTTCCCGACAGGTGATGGTAGAGCGCTTGTTGTAGTGCGCCAGACGAGAAGCCTCGGCAGCAATACGCTCGAAGATGTCATTCACAAAGCTGTTCATGATGCTCATCGCTTTCGAGGAAATGCCAGTGTCGGGATGGACCTGCTTCAGGACCTTGTAAATGTAGATAGCATAGCTCTCCTTCCTCTTCCGCTTCTTCTTCTTGTCGTTCTTGGTGATGTTCTTCTGGCCTTGCCAGCCTTCTTGGCTGCCTTTCCACTAGTTTTCGGCGGCATTATTTCACTTCACTTCACTGCACGATTCACTGATCATGGCAGTTTTTTTTTTTTTTTTTTTTTTTAATTTTTCAATATCCGTTTATTTGTCAGTCAAATTCTAAGTATACATTTTGTACTCCTGATCTTATATGTAACATATAGAAAGGAACTAATTCTAATATTACAGTTTTTCATGATTTGAAGCTTTTGTCATACGCTTATTGCTTTTCATGACGCTAGATTTTACATTGGCTTATTTGCTATTTGTAGCTTTATATTGGGTTTATTGCATTTTTGTTTCTTAATTAGTTTTATAATTCTGGGAAAAGTTTTCAAGTAAAAACCCAGCTTAATTTATATCTTATAGATAGTATGTTTTGTGGCGGAGGGAGGGGCGGGGGGGGGGGGGTTATATACAAAGTGTGTGGAGTATTTACATATGTACATGGGGGGGGCTTATATTATTGGTACATTAGGCCATCTCTTGGATTTAGTGATCTAAATTTCCTATAGTAAAAAATTAAATTTTTATTTTCGTCATAGATAATATTTTTTGTTTTTAAATCTTCTAAGTGATTTAATGTTAACAATTCAATAGGGTAGTCATATAGTATTTCCGTTTGTTCAATGTTATTGTTTGTTATAAAGTGTTCTAAAATTTTGAAGGCTTGTTCGTCAATTTTTGTTGTTTTGTTCGTTTATATATTTGTTTGTTTGGTACAGTGTTTCTGTAGTTGTTGTCAATAGCTTTTCTGAGTAAGAATCTTTCGTATCGTCTTAGTTTTTCCATCTGGTGGGATTTAATACTCATCCATGCTGTGTGTCCGTACAGTAAGATTGGTTGTATTAGTTTTCGGTATGTTAGTATTTTAATTTGCTCTAGTTTTTTCTTTTTGTTATTGTTCGGTAGAATATGTGTTGAATGTTTTTTGCTCTTATTTTTGCTTTGTTTAATGTGTTGTCTATATGTGATTTAAAATTTAATTTTTCGTCATATGTGACTCCTAAATATTTTAATTCTCTGTTGAATTTGATTGGAATATTATTGTATATGTAAAGTTTGGGTTGGTAGTGTCTTGAATTTTTGTATAAATTACTAATTTTTGGCCCTCTGAAAAAGCAGCTGGTGCATTTTTCACTATTTAACTTTAATTGCCATCTTGTAAAATAATTTGATAGCTTGTCTAAGTATTGATTAAGTTCTACTTCTAGACTCGCGGTGTGGCCACCAGAGCCGAGAAGTAGTATGTCGTCTGCGTATGTTAGCTGAATTATGTCGACTGTTGTTTGTGGATTTTGTGTATACTTGGGTAGATCATGAAGATAAATGTTATACAAAATTGGTCCTAGGAGTGATCCTTGTGGTACTCCTGCTGTTATATTCCTTACAATGGAATTTTCTTGAGTTGGGCTTGAGACATGGAATGTTCTATTTGTAAGGTAACTATGAGTAATTTTTAGTAAGTTTTGGTTAAAATTTAACAGTTTCATTTTATATATTAGTGCATTTGTCCAGACTGTATCAAATGCTTTTTCAAAGTCAAGGGCACACGCTGCTGTGCCTCTTTTCTTATGGATGTTTTGATAGATGAAACTGTTAGCTTTATGAAAGGCATTATTTACTGAGATGTTCTCTCTGAAGCCAAATTGGCCTTCATTTAGAACATTATATTCTCGAAGATGTTTTTTAATGTGTTTTATTAGCACCTTTTCAAATAGCATTCCTATGGCAGAGAGTATAGTGATAGGTCTATAGCTTTTAAGGTAATGTGGGTTTGTCTTTGGTTTTTGTATTGGGATTATTTTCCCGTGCTTCCATTGTTTGGGAAAGTACGAGCAGTTTATGCAATGGTTGAAAATTTTGCATAATTCTACAATTACTGGCATGTTTAAATATTTTAGCAAGAAATTACTAGTTCCGTCTGGTCCCATCGTCTTCTTGTTATTTTTATTTTTTATCATTTCGAGTACTTCTTCTGGGTTTGTGAAACCTAGTTCTTCTGCTGCTTGCCATTTCCCTTCTGCTGTTTGTATGTCATTAAATGTTGTTATTTTAGTTTCATTTGTGTTTAATTGTTCTACTTCTGTTTGTACTGTTGTTCTGTGCGTTCTTAGTTCTGTGTTTGCTAAAGTCATGTTGTCGTTTTGTTTGTGAATTTGCTCAAAGGACCATGCTAGGGCATTTATTTTTTCAAAGTCAGAGGTGAGAATGTTCGAGTTGGTTTCAAAGTCTATTTGTGTTTTTTCAGTGTTGTTTAATATTATGTTTGACTGTAACTGTTCTTTTGTGGTTATGCCTGGGTTTATGTTGTGAAGTGTTCTATGGCTTATTCTGCATACATTGATTTTTTCTAGCCTTGTTCTTATAATCCTAAGTTCCGTCTCTTCTATCATTATGTTTATTTGGTAGTCTATTTCTTGGATTGCTTGTTTAATAGAAGATATTTGATTTTCAGTCATTGTCATGGTTTTGTTGTGTAGTATTCGTCTGAGTTTGCGTTTTTGTGCTATAAGTTTAATGCACTTTGGTCCTAGTTGAATTGATTGGTTTGTAGAGTTTGGTTTTATCTTTAGTTTTGGTATAGCTTGTGGATTATTTAATGCTCTGTCTATTGCTATTGTTAAGTTTGTTATGTGCTGGTCAATATCATTTTTATTTAGGTTCGTGTGGTTTGGTGTTGGGTTTATGTTTTGTAGGATCGTTCTGTTCCAAGCTACTGAGTCTATTCGATTAAATTTATGAACTATTTTTGGGTCGTTATTTAATAAACGAGTTTTACCTATTTTTAATGCGATTGATGGTCAGATGGATAGTCTTTTAACACTGTACAGCCTTTTTGTAGGTTGCTACTTAAGGCTGCCATTGTGGAGGTTATAAAGAGATCTATGGACGAGTCTATTTTTTTATTCGGACGTGTTGGTTCGATTGGCGGACAAATTGTAAGTTCTGGAATATTTGTTATCCAGTCAAATAAAACTTTCCCTGCAGTATTGAAGTGTTGATTGGAAAAACTTGGTTTGTGCCATGTCGGATGTTTTGCATTTAGATCACAGCCTATGATTATTTTATTTACTTGAGGTACTTGTTTTAGTGTATTGTATATTTTTCTAAGTCTTCAGTTGTAGTTTGTCCTGTGGTCTGTTGTAAAGTGTTGCTACAATGATATTCTCTATGTTGTTTTGGGTTTTTTGGGTTAATTGTATGGCTATGGCTTCAACTGATTTAGTTTGTGTTAAGTTTATTCTGTTGTATTTTATGTTGTTTTTTAGGCAGATGGCCACTTGGTTAAGTTTTGTGTTTGTCGCAGTGTGATTCCTAGTAAATGTAGCATTCTGGTAAATTGGGGATTCGGGGAATTCCTGCTTCTGCCTTACTAGCTGATATTGAGCAAAAGCACGGCAGCAGAGGCAGAGACGCTCTGCTGCTGAGTGAGGTTCGATGATAAGATACAAGAGTCTTGAGTAAGACAGAGATGGCTGCATACGCTCGACTTGAGTGAGTTTATGACGTGAGCGCGTATGCTGAAATGGTCAGTTAGTGGAACTTGGGTATTCGAACCGATCGGAACTCGCTGTGCAGCTGCGTCAATTATCTTAAGTGTTAACATGGATAACATACCCTTGCCGCCGACCGACATACCCTTGCCGCCGACATGTTTATTTCTGTTGTTGTGTTTTGTCTTATTAGTCTGTAGTTTGTTAGCATGGGTGGGTTATTTTCGCTGAGATGATGTTCTGCTAGGTGCATTACATCGGGTTTGTGTTTGGCTAGAAATTGGTTGAGTTCAGCTCTTTTTCTGAGCTGTCTCATACTATTTACATTGAGGAAAATGCATTTTAATTTCATTACTTATTTTGCGCCATATTGAAAATAAAGTCAAGTATTATTCGATTTTTATCATCTTCGTCGTTTGCATTTGGATAGTTAGTTAAAGTTTTTTGCATAATTTTTATGCACGTAACTAGATCTTTCCCGTAGGTCTTAATAGTGTCATTGTTTATTGTGTCTATTGTAATTTGAGGTGAACTGTCGAGTTGTTTGTTTTGTGGGTTTGTCATGTTCCGTTCGGTATTTTGAAAAAGGGAAGAGAAGCTTTTGTTCGGGACTACTCTATTGAATTGTGAATTTTT